GTTTTCTTAGCCCTATTAAATAGTTTCCTGGTCTTTTCCCTAAGGTCTTTCAGCTTAGAATTCCACCAAGAAACTTTTCGTGTTGAGGTCTTAGTTTTGACGGGACAACTGTCCTCGAAGGCTTCACGGGTACCTACGGTTACTGTCTCCGTCGCTAACTCCAGACCTTCAATTGTTTTGATGCTTTTAGGAAACGTTTCCAAATTTCCAAATTCCTCCTTAGGCTATCTCTATAGATAACCCCAGGAGGTCGCTTTCGGATCCCTAAAAGTAACGATTTCAAAGGATGGTGATGCTCCAATCACAAACTTAATGTGCTTGTGATCAGACATCAAGTTTTCGCTACTAACATGCCAGTCATTTATCCGCCTGGACATGTTATTGGTAGCAAAGGTTATGCCTAACACTTCTTGCCTAGCACGCGTTACAAAGGTTGGTGTACAACCTAAGTTTAGGCTTACCAGGCGGTTGGAGATGAGACAATTATAAAGTAACTCACCTCTTTCGTTGATGTTTGTGCTTCCCCAGGCTGTGTGGTGAGCATTAGCATCACAACCCACCACAAGTTCGGTATTGTGTTTTCGGGCGAACTTCGGCACTCGCTTTAACTCGATGGTAGCATCTGCGTTCTCGCCGGGAAGATAGGCTGAGCAAATGATTCTCTGGCTCCTGTGCATCCCTTGAGATTTATGAAGGCTGTAACCAGGTCATAATTGCAGTACTCTGGTACAGCTAAAAGTTCAATATTTTTATTATAAATTATACAAGCTCTGGTCTACTGCCTTTGGTATTGACAAGAATCTTACCGGCAGCCGCCAATCCAAGAACTTGACCGTTGGCCACCCAAGGCTCTTGTATAAGGGCGAGGTCAATGTTGTCCTCTGCAAAGCAAACCTCCATCACGGCAGAAGCAGCTGCTGCATGGTGAAGATTTGCTTGGAGGACCCTCGTAACCCCTTGGGTTTAGCCATTTATGGGCGTGGGGGGGGCAGGGATCTTTTCCGCCTGTTGAGGACGAGGACGTCCTTTTCTTGCGAACTTGACCCCCCGCCTTACCTTACCTTCGAACCGCTCCTACCTCCCCTCCCCTCCGGCCGGGACGACACCAGCGGAGGCCGTCGGACCGAGGCGAAATCTGCGCCTTGGGTCTTCGTCACTCTCACCGGTGGCGTTCCAGCCTCACCCCGAGAGGTGGAGGGCTGAGGGGATTGGGGTTGGGGTTGGGGCGGTTCGGGCTCCATTGCCGCGTCAGAGCCTCCCCTGAGTTTAAAAGTTATCATCTTAAAGCCAAGGATGACTCTGCCGCCTGCCTTCCGAAGAGCCTCCGCCGATGGGTCGTCCAGAGAAAAGGTTACTAAGAACCCATTCTCCTCGTCCCTACGGTGGAGGATTCTCCAGAGCTTTCGGCATTCGGCTTCGCTGCGGGGCAAGTAGGTAATGCCCAGCGTAGGCTTAGGCAGTTCGCCCTCGGGTATTACCGAGCTCTGCCTCCGGCCAGGGCTTTAGTTTTCCGATTTCACCCACAATCCAGTCCTGGCTTGCCTTATTCAGGCACGTCACCAGAATCCAACCTGGCTTGTGTGTGAAACCGGAAAATTTTGGGTCCATTCCCGGTTGCGACCCACAGGCCGCCTTAGCGATGGCCTGTGTTAGTGCCCGGTGGACCAGCCGCATCTGCTCCACACTCATAAGATTCGAATTGCGAATTCCTATACGCGTGGAGCCAACTACGGCACTGAAGCTGAGCTTCTTCTCCTCCGTTGCCAGCTTCACAGTCTTCCTGGGATGGTCTTTTTTTTTTTTTTTTTTTTTTATTTTTTTTTTTTTATTTATTTAACAAGTACACTTACAATACACATATATAACAATTACGAATACATACACATTTCTGTACTCTCTGATATGTATATCAATTACAAGTGTACATAACATTCACAGATTGAGTCATGCAATTTAGGGTTAATTTGGAGTACTAAATATAAAAAAACAGGTTTAATTTTTAAAAGGGAATGTGGTGGATATTATACTCTCTTCAGGAGTATATATATTTTTCATTAACGTATAAGATATATTATATTGCAGATGTAATTTGTATCAGAAACTTGATGATAAATGATTTGTAATTTTAATTTTGTATGCAATATAAGAGTCATTAAATATGTCAATGCCAGGTATGGTTTTAAAAAAATTCGTTATATTTTCCACATATACGCACGATAGGAGCGTGACTCCCGAGATGAGTTTTCGCGAAAGGAATATGAAATGTTTTTTGGATGCGACAACGAGGATATTTACGCGGAACAGCAAATGAAATGCGGTTGAGGAGTTCACTGCACTTAACTTTATTATGTACTATTTTATGTAGAAAACACAAATCTAGAATAACTCGTCTATTTCGGAGAGACATCATTTTAAACTTATCCAGTCGCTGATAGTAAGGCTGCCTATGTGAGATACCACTGGCATGAAAGGCAAGATGTCGAGTAAAGGCTCGCTGTATACTTTCTAGGCGTTGGGAGTGCACACTAGAAGATGGATTCCATATGACACTAGCGAATTCAAGGACACTTCTTACAAAAGCATTATATAAAATAATTTTAGTCCCAGATGAAAATCCCTTTGTATTGCGCTTAATAAATCCTAAGAACTTCGCGGCTTTCTTAACAATAGTGTTTATATGAGATTTAAAGGTTAGCTTTCTGTCAATAGTTACTCCTAAGTCTTTAATCTCCGGTATCTCTTGCAAAACTACATTACCAATTGAATAACTAGAGACAAGCGGTTTTACTTTTCTGGTGTATTTTACATGGAAGCATTTGTTAGCATTAAGAGTCATACTATTGACGTCGCACCAATGGGATATTCTATTCAGATCTTCCTGTATAAGATTTATATCGTCCACTGATTTTATTGGTTTATAAATTTTTAAATCATCAGCAAATAACGAGCAACGACAATTTTTGATTACAGTAGTGATGTCGTTAATATAAGCCAAGAATAATAGAGGGCCCAGATGCGAACCTTGAGGCACCCCAGATTGAGCTTGATACTGTTTGGATTCAAATCCATTAACAACTACAATTTGAGATCTCTTCTCCAAATAAGATCTAAACCATCCAATCAAGGAAGGACCAATACCATACAGAGAAAGTTTGTTAACGAGTTGCTGGTGGTCAACCTTGTCGAATGCACTACTAAAGTCTGTGTATATGGCGTCAATTTCTTGGCCTTTGTCTACCTCTTTTAAAAGATCAGAAGTAAAATTACACAAATTAGTTTGAACTGACAATCCACTTCTGAATCCATGCTGAGAGCTGGTAAGAAATTTATCAAGGTGCTTGGCAAGAACTGGGTGCACAAGACTTTCAAATAGTTTGGAAAAGCAAGAAAGAATGGATATAGGGCGATAATTTTTTATATCCATGCGATCACCCTTTTTAAAAACTGGGACTATTCGGGCCTTTTTCCATTCTTCAGGGAAGATACCATCTTCTAGGGAACGATTAAAAATAAGGGTCAATGGAAAAGCGATTTTTGGGCCACAACGTTTAACAAAAATGGCAGGGATACTATCTGAACCCGCACCCTTTTCAGCATCTAATGTTTTGATTTTTTTTTACGACATCTGTTTCATTAATCTTCAATTTACTCAAATGTGTAATATTGCTGTTTTGCATAAAGTATGCCGCTTTGTTGTTAGTTGTTTTGGTGTAAACGGATGCAAAATGGTTTGCAAATAAATTGGCTATTTCCGTTCCAGAGTTTGCCACCTTGTTATGCAATTTCATGGACGCGGGTAGAGTTGACTCACTTTTCTTTTTATGTTTAATATATTTCCAAAGGTGTTTTGGGTTTTTCGAAATATCAGATTCTGCATTGTGTTTAAAATTATTAAAACATAAAACAAAGAGTTTGTGACACCGACTGCGAAGTATTTGAAATTCTAAGTGATCTCTGGGGTTATTATATTTGCGATATTTTTTGTGAAGTTTTTCTTTCTCTGACAATAACTTAACCAAGCTACGTTTGAACCAATTAGGATACTTAGCTGAAATAATCTTACGTTTAGGTACAGATAAATCGATGACTTCAAAGAGACGATTATAAAATACTTCGACCATAGCATTGACATCTTTGCATTCATAAAATTCGTGCAACCAATCAATATTTTTAATTTTATCAATAATAGTTTTATAATCAGCCTTAAAGTAATTATAATCTACACGAAGTTTGGGACGAAGGAAGGAAATATGACCGTATTCTATACTTATTAACAAATCAGGATGGTATGAATCCAATTTACTAAGTATTTCAGGAGGTTTTGTAACTATAATGTTTGTTAAATTACTTAGCACTAAGTCCAAGAGTCTACCGTCACAGTTACTTATACAGTTATATTGGTATAAATCATTAATAGACATAAAGTCAACTAATGAGTGTCCGAGTGCATTGTAATAATTATATGGTGTCATGTATGAACATTTTTCACTAGCAGACCACTCAATAAAACCCATATTAAAGTCACCTATAACAACTAAGTCATCAACGTGGTTAGCAACATTATCCACGCTATCTAAAAAATTATTTAGGTTTTCTAGTTTAACTGGTGGTGGCAAATAGACTACACAAAGTCCAATACTTTTTGTGACATGGTTGTCATTGAATTTTAGCACTACCCACATATTTTCCTCATTGGTTTCCCAATTTACAATACGAGAGGATGATATCTCACGTGAAATGGCAATGAGAACACCTCCACCATCCTTTTTAGATGCGTCTAGACATAAACGATCTTTTCTATAAACTACATAACGGGAATCAAATAGTTCATTGTCAAAGATACTAGGCCAAGTCTCAGTAAATATGATAATTTTATAATTTGAAATCAAGATATTCTTAAGCACATCGGAGGTCTTAGTTCTCAAACCTCGCACATTCTGATAGTAGATTTCTAACAATGTAAAAATTTGGTGGCCATATCATTCACATATTTTTTAAATTTAAATTATGAGCTTAAGACTATCTTCATTTTTTATTATAATTGCTTGACTAAATTCATCTTTGCGTACGTAAATTTTTCCATTCCTAATCCATATGAAGCGATATTTCATTTCATTGGATTTTATGCACGCAGCGGCATGAAGGGATTTATTTCCTGGAGTTAAATGTTCTGAAACATATATTGGGACTCTAGATCCTCCAATTCCTAGATGGTGAGAGTTTAGTTTATCATCAGGATTTTTCTTGTTAAATAAAGCAACAGCCGCTAGGAGAGCATCTCTGTGTTTCATGGTACGAAGCTTAACAATGACAGAACGTGGCTTGTTGGTATTTTTATTCAGCTTAGCTACTCGAGTAACATATTGGATATCATCAACTGACAGCGAATTTTTTACAGCTTGTCCTAACTGCACGATAGTGTTTGCCAAATTTTCCGCTTTATGTTCGGGAATACCATTTACTTCGATGTTGCATTCTCTCATATGTGATTCTACGATGTTTAACCGGGTTTTAAGGTCCTTGACTGATGCTTGAAGTTGAGTATTTTCTTTTTTTAAGTTGTTAATAATAGCGGATTTTTCTTCAATTACAGTTTTCATCTCTTCAAATTGCGCATTTATGAACAACATAGATTCACAAAATCCCGCTATTTGTTCATTAATTGTATTGAGCTGTGCCGTAACAAGTTTTTGAATGGTTGTAGAAAGTTCTTGTTTAATAATATCACGAAGAGTATTTTCTGTCAAGAAGTTACTACCATCATTACTTTTCATCGATGCTGGGGCTGGTGACTCGCTGTGCTTTTTACGTAAAGTAACGAATGGCTCAGAAGAGTATTCATCAGTAGCTTTGCTGCATATTTGGCTAGTGACAGCTGACCTAACCGGTGTGTGACTGTTACCAGTTTTTGGTTGCTTACTGCAACATTCCGGGCATTTCCAATTATTCCTCTTTTGCTGGTCCATTTGATCAAAGTATCTGATAGGTATGTTTGCGCATTCGCAGTCATACTTCAATTTACAAATCATGCAACTAAGAAATTCTTTTTTTGGGTAAAGTATTTTTGCATCCGGCGCAAATTTTAGAATTCATAGCAGACGACATTACTGTTTCTATTTAATAACTTAAATTTGAATTTTGTGGAAATGACAAAAAACTTTCCGGCGTTGGGAATCGATCGCACGTCGCTAGATTTTGGACGTCGTTATACCATCTGCGCCACGGTGATGTTGATACACTTAGCGAAAATATCAATCTATTTAGTGTACAGCAACAAATTATTAACAGTCTGACGGTAGTACAGAAACAAAAGTTATCAATAGATCGTGAGTAAACACAAATTATTGTATTTCGAAAAGGTTCACTGGATTAACTTTTAAAGTTAGTTTTATAATTAGATACACTGATAATACACTATTAGCTTGTATTACACAATATAAAATATATATTACACTTTGAAATATTTGGTAAAGTTAACATTCGAAATTACTGCGTTAACACCAGATCATCTTCAGAATTACGTTAGAACCTTGCAGGATAATAACGACACAGAATTATTGTAGATTAAAAAATGTTTCTGTATTACTTTTGGTAGCTATTTCGAACTTTTAGAATTAAAAAATAAATTTTTAACACAGATATGTTGCACGACACGTTTGACACGTTTGACGTTCGTCTGAGGATCCTTTCATGGTCTTTGGGGGACTCGTCTTCAGACCGACTGCGTTTTTTCGCCTTCGAAACTGGGGGAGGCTTAGGCAGAGGAATTTCGTCCCAAGGCTTCTGGCAGAGAGAGAGGGCCTCTTCGGCTCCAATCCCAGCTGCTATCAGCCTTCGGTACCTTTTCCTCGCAACCCCACTAAGCTTATAAGGCCTAGCGAACTTTTTCTTGTCCCCTCCCTGGTTCGTTTCCGATTGTGGTTCGGCTGCAAACGTGCCCTCCACTTCACGGCTCGTCCCAGGTTGGGGCGCACTATTGCAGGGTGTTGGTGAGGCTAAAAGAGCCTCTTCCAAACCTGCAGCTAATTCCATTAAAGGAGACTTTTCACTGTCTTTTACAAAATGTCGGTTTTCATCCACTTTGTTTACACGAGTAGCTAGGGAAATACTTGGTCACCCCCGGCAGAGCCCGGCATGCCGAGGGAAGGGCTAAAATACTACCCGAATCGCCCTGGTCTCGGGTAGGCACCGTTTGCGACTGGACTCCCTCCAGCCACGCATCCATCGGCACGGTACGCTTGACACCTTGGATTGGGTTGGGATAGGAAAAGGGGGAGGGATAAAAGAAAAGAAAAAGAGGATCGTCCGAGTGTTTCTGTTCTGTCTGTTTCCTATTGAACCAGACCAAATAACAGGCGGCAACCACGTGAAGGAGAACTCCTCAGACTTGCCCTGGGGATCAACACGACCTGCGCTCTCCCCCAGAGCCATACGTCAAACTGCTCGCCGGACATGAGAGCAGAATAGGTATTAATCTAGTCCTATTTATAATATCAAAAAGTTAGGAGTAGACTAACCCCCGCCCAATAAGACCTTAGTAACAGACACCACATACCCTTTGATAAATTGTATATAAAACCGAAGATTACAAACTACCACTTTGCCTCGCGTATGTGGACTATAAGAAAGCCTTTGACCCCGTCAAAATTTGTGTGTTACTACAGTCCCTTCGACGGTGCCAAGTTGACTGTCGGTATACCGAAGTGCTGAAGTGTATGTAAAACAGGGTGACGTTATATCACCGAAACTCTTTACCACTGCATTGGAAGACGTTTTCAAGCTACTGTACTGGAAAGGATATTGTATTAACATTAATGACGATACATCACTCACCTTCGATTTGCTGACGATAAATTCCTTATGGCAGAATTGCTGGAGGACCTAAGCACTATATTCAAGTTCCTCAATAGTGTCTCCCAACGGACAGATATTAAGATAAGCATGGACAAAACTAAGGACATGTGTAAGGTCCGTGTCCCATCTATGCCAGTAGTTATTAGGAGCACTATATTCAAAGTTGTCATCGACAAATAGTCCGACTAAGCAAGTGTAATTTTGACCGAGAGTTAAATCGATGGATACAACTTGGCTGGGTAGCGTTCGGGAGATTACGATACATCATCTCGTCAGGTATGCCTCAAGACGAAAACAAGATTGTATTGTGTTGTAACCAGTGCGTGCTATCTGTGTTGGCTTATGGATCTGAGACGTGTCCTTCACTGCTGGTCGTATGAGGAAGACCAAGCTGTGGAGAGGGCTATGCTCCGGGTTCCTCTGCGTGATAGACTTAAAAATGAGTATATCCATAACAAAACCAGAGTTAACGATATATTAAAAAACATGAGTAGGCTGAAGTGTCAATGTGCCGGCCGCTCGAAAAACGCCCGAATAGCTCGTCGAGCGATGAGGAAGAAAGGTTATGGAGTAGTGACCTCGTACCGGTAGACGAAGTGAAGGGTAGCCCCCCACTGGATGGAGTAACAACCTAGTAAGACATGCAGGAAGTCAATTGTGCAGGTAGCTCAGGACCACCTATTTAAGAGAAGGCCTATTTTCAGCAGTAAACATGTGAAGGGCTGTAATAATGATGATGATAATAACGCATATATAATAAGTCGGATTTGATGAAGTATAATTAAAGAAGTAAAATCCTGCCGTTTTTATACATGTTATAATTTCGTAAGGACTCACATATTTTAATAACCAAACAACCCACATCCACCTTATATGGACTTATTTTGGACGGTGGAGTCATAATTGAAACATTTTTAACGAAATCGCACATAAAACCGTTGCATGCTGTTATGACTAGTTTAGTGCCCTTTAATAACATCTGCTTCGAATGTTAATACCAGATACTGCGTTGTGCATTGTCTTCCACTAAGTAGTGATAAATCAATTGAAGAAGTTCTAAAATTATGAACACGTTGTTACTACGGCGTAGTTTTAATAATCATATTCTAGAAATCAAATTTTGTTCTAAACTGTTATTAATATTATTTTAAATATACAGTACATCTTACATATTGTGTAAAATATACCTTAAGTTTTTTCAAGAATGCGATTTTTCAAGTGGATTCGTGAGTAGCGGGGTGAGGCCTCTGTCACTCTTGCTACCTGCGTAAATACCTACCATCGCACCTCAGGTTACATACCCAGTCAGGGCTTATGCGTTTTAGGCGGGCGACGGCTAGTAAATTCAAAGTTTTTAACACTGTTTATGCAAACAGATATTTTGTAAATAATTGTGTAAATATTTTTGGTTATTGTTTAGTATATTTACTTAGGGAGTAAAAAGTTGCATATATTTTGGTGTAATTTATGTGTATATTTATATGTATAATATAGAAAATACGTTCGTTAACAATTTTGAAAACATAATAATTAAAAGTCAGCAAATAATTTACCAGAATTTTAACGAATATTATATCAGTCCACGTCCACGTTAGATTTAGTGTTTTCCACTCTTACCTACATTTAATTACCGTTATTTTAAAAATACCGTTAGTTTAAAATTATTAAAATAAATAAACAAAATAATCAAAAACTATACGTACTTTATTTTAAAACTTTCGTGGTGTAACCACGAAAAATCGTCCGTGACGTAGGAAGGGGAAAAATGCAATACCATGCGGACTCAGTTGGACGGATAAAGTTTAATTTGCGTCATTTATCTAATTAATAATAATTATGTAGGTTGTTAAAACGTCGACAAGTACTGGGATTAATTCCGTGGCGCAGATTTCATACCGCCTCAATGCTCCCCATAAATATCTCTAGGACTGCAACTATTTTCTTCAGCATTTCGAATACATATAAATATCATTTTAATCGTAACTTTTCAGTCAGCAAAACATCTATTGTTTTTTCATTAGTCTGGAGAAATTGTAATATACTACAATGTTTATATGTAATATACTAAATTATTTATATGAGTTTAAAAATACTGGTTATTTATTGAAAGTAACTGTTAACAGATATTATAATTGGCTTAGCTTTTAAAAGAGTTTATCGTAGAGTTCCTCTTTCTCCATAAAGTCGGTCATTTCCTGGTCCCTTGAGTTCCGTTGCCCTATCCCGAAATTCCCTACTTTTAGCTCACCGTTCTCTCTTGTGCCTAGTTTTGTTATTATATAATTTACTTATTCTCTGTAATATAAATTATATTATAAGGATAATAACTAGTTTAAGTGTGTTTAGTCTAAGGATACCGGCATTTGTATACCTTTATAAACTGCTATTTAGAGTTGAGATAAAGCATAGTTAAATCTGTTAAATTAAGAGCTTTTACAAGGAGGCGGCACGTTGCCGATGGCAAGGTCAGCTGATACGTAGCCACTGTGCGGCGTTTTCATTCGATATTCCAGCATAAAGCCTCTACAACAGGCATCTTCTCTGTCTGCGGCTGTCAATAGAAACTTCAGAACGGGAGCTAATGAAGTTTTAAGATAGATATTAATTTTAGAAATAATTTTGTTATTGTTTTTACATCGATGATGTAAAGGAAATAAATAATTATGGTTTTTAAATATCTTATTTTGAGGAAATCTATAGAATAAAACAGTGAATTTTTATCTTTTTATCTTCCTTTTTATTACAGGTTGGCGGGGAGCCAACATACACGTTAACTTAAAAAAGTTGAACACACGCAGTAGCTTGTATGACAAAGAGGCCAAGATAAAGGAGGGAAGGCCTTTTCGATGTTTTTGAGATCGTAGGCCCATATTAGGTATTTTGGGAATGAAAATTGACTAACGGTAGATGCTAATTCAGAACATTGTCTATCGGTAGATGCTAATTCAGAACATTGTCTATCGGTAGATGCTAATTCAGAACATTGTCTATCGGTAGATGCTAATTCAGAACATTGTCTATCGGTAGATGCTAATTCAGAACATTGTCTATCGGTAGATGCTAATTCAGAACATTGTCTATCGGTAGATGCTAATTCAGAACATTGTCTATCGGTAGATGCTAATTCAGAACATTGTCTAACGGTAGATGCTAATTCAGAACATTGTCTAACGGTAGATGCTAATTCAGAACATTGTCTATCGGTAGATGCTAATTCAGAACATTGTCTAACGGTAGATGCTAATTCAGAACATTGTCTAACGGTAGATGCTAATTCAGAACATTGTCTATCGGTAGATGCTAATTCAGAACATTGTGTAACGGTAGATGCTAATTCAGAACATTGTCTAACGGTAGATGCTAATTCAGAACATTGTCTAACGGTAGATGCTAATTCAGAACATTGTCTATCGGTAGATGCTAATTCAGAACATTGTCTAACGGTAGATGCTAATTCAGAACATTGTCTATCGGTAGATGCTAATTCAGAACATTGTCTAACGGTAGATGCTAATTCAGAACATTGTCTAACGGTAGATGCTAATTCAGAACATTGTCTAACGGTAGATGCTAATTCAGAACATTGTCTAACGGTAGATGCTAATTCAGAACATTGTCTATCGGTAGATGCTAATTCAGAACATTGTCTAACGGTAGATGCTAATTCAGAACATTGTCTAACGATAGATGCTAATTCAGAACATTGTCTAACGGTAGATGCTAATTCAGAACATTGTCTAACGATAGATGCTAATTCAGAACATTGTCTATCGGTAGATGCTAATTCAGAACATTGTCTAACGGTAGATGCTAATTCAGAACATTGTCTAACGGTAGATGCTAATTCAGAACATTGTCTATCGGTAGATGCTAATTCAGAACATTGTCTAACGGTAGATGCTAATTCAGAACATTGTCTAACGATAGATGCTAATTCAGAACATTGTCTATCGGTAGATGCTAATTCAGAACATTGTCTAACGGTAGATGCTAATTCAGAACATTGTCTATAGTGAAGACACTCACTATGTTGAAAAACTTTGTTCAACCTCGTTTGGCATGTTCGACAGCTTGGCGTAGGTCGGGAGGCCTTTTACTTTTAAAAAAAGTTGGAAAAATAGCCCATATAGCGCGCAACTGCCGCTATTTGCGAAATGTTCGTGTTATTTCTTATTTAGGAGACTAGACTTTTCCTGCTTCGTCACCCGATCTTAAATTTTGAAAGATCGCATTAAAACGAAATTCCACCGCCTGTTTACATTTAACTTAAAAATATATGGGCGACCCATCTGTAGATTGCCTTATTGGGGAATGTTTGCCCTAATTGACAAGTTTGGTAGACGTTGACTACTTCAGTTATTTATCATTTGAGTTATTCATCAGTCAGTCATCATCAGGAAGATGCTGATGCCCATTTTTTGTTTGTTTCCCTATATCGTCTCTTGCGACAAGGAGGAGATGATAAATGGGTAGTGGATTCTATTAAAGCACCACACATAGCAACGATTTTGATGGAATTTTATTTATTTTTGCAGTTTTAGCTAGACAGGTGTCAAAAGAACTATATAATATGATATTATATACCAACTAATAATGCAAGTTTGAAACGGCCTTCCTAGTTTGAATTTGTAGTAGCCACTTACTACTGGTAGCCTGTTTCTTATTAAGTAATTAATGTCCAAATACCACTATACCACTATGCAATTTTTAGAAGTCGTAAAGTCTCGTGCTGTTACATTCACCTTGACTTAAAATGATAGAGACAGCATGAGACTTAACGGCAGCTTAAAATTGAGCAGCGTATGAGTATTCCGTGATAAGGCACTAAAATATTATAAAATAATTGTAAATTATTCTGTTTTGCATTATTCAAATCTACAGCACATTTTTTTCTACGCTGACTAATAACATTATTTCCTCTTTGGTTTCATACATTTTATGCACTTGGCTTTAAATAAGTAATGCTCAAGGTGTCCTCTAACAATAACACGAAATTAAATTCAACAATAGGCACAACTGCAGTTTCTCAAACAAATTATTCATTAATGTCTAACGCATAACTTATTTTAGAAAATATTATATCATGCTATGTAATTAACTGATGTTTTTCTTTTATAAAAAAACCAAAACTAATTTCTACGCTGTGCAAACAATAATAAAATGGATAAATTTTTTTCTGAAAAACATTAAAATGTAGGATGCACAATTCGCTCTTTTCCCAATTTTATGGCATGGAGTGATAAACGAGCACACAGTTCTACCTAGTTGTAAATGGATGCTGTGGCTCATAGACATACACATTTATCCTCAATTGAGAATCAAAATGCAAATGCGTTGTCACCCCTGACGACTAAGATGAAATGCACCGATTCCAGTAAAAAGGGTCGCCGGTTCTCTACACTCATCACACGAAACATCACTCTGCTATTTGAACAGAAGTCATATTCTGTGAGAGCGTGGTCCTGCCCCTTGCCTGCCATTCGTGCTACAACTATAACAGAGCAGCAGCGTGGTTCTACCACGTCCCTTTATCCCTTTGTGTTTTTTTTTATTAGTGTGCAGATCACATGAATACTGCAGGTACAATTTTGAAATTTCCAGATCGAATTTAAAAAGCAATTCCTTTTTTTTTGGGGAAATTTAAAATCTTTCTTTTATAAGTTATAGTCGCCCTTATAAACTTAGCTATTTATATTCTTATTTATCGTTACAGTTTATTTACTTTTCCATAATCAGTTTTCGTAAATCTGTCAAACGGGGGTGGTGATTGTCTCATTATGAACTATGATAATATTGACGCAAAGGTAGTTGTGGGCTATCAAGCAAACATGGCAGATAGCTTGTTTGATTGCTTGTACATATCCTTGTTCTTATGTATCATCTCATAGCGTAGACATACATAGTTTGCGACATTTTCTCGAAATAAATAAAGGTGATTAGTATTTTCACACTATTTTCTTAAACAGCTCAACAATACACATGAATACGTGAACAATGAAAGTAATGAGTTTGTTTTCGTTTTTCAAATTTGGAAATCGAATTAAACAAAAAGGTGCATACAAGCAAATTCAGTTATTTTTTCTCATTTTACTCACAGAGCTTAACACGAAATTTCGGAATTGAAAACACGAAAAATACGTTGTTAAGTTTTACGGAAGTTCTGAGATATAAATAATAATCAGCCAGTTTTAATCTAGATATAAAACCATGATAAACATAAAATGAGATTGCAAGGCAGAAAAAGGCTTAAAAGTAATTACTACGCCATAAAATGTATATTTATTAAATAAAGATGTGAATAAATAATCGAGTACAGTATTTTAGTGTGTGAACATCAAAGACCATCTAGACTGACTGAACTGTCTAATCTAACGCCTCAACACCGGTTAATCAGGTATAGACTTGATTCAACGCAGAAGGTCACTAGACACCCGCCGCGTCGTAATAGAACATCGTCTAGTCTAGCTCCATGAATATTTATAAGTGCGTCCAAGCATATTTTGACAAAAAGATTCCGTGAGAATAATAAATAACATATTATATAATGTGCAAAACTAACACAGATTTCTAAATGTAAGATGACTAAAAGTAATTATACTATATATATAATTATAGATAGAATAAAGTTATAAAAAAAGTAATTTTTTTTAATGTGGGTGATTATGTTCGAATAACCAAATATAAACATGTTTTCCAAAAAGGATATGAATCAAATTGGAATGATAAAATATTTATTATATCTTCAATAATTGATAGATCTCCATGGGTTGTTTATACAATAACAGATTTACAAAATGAAGCAATAGTTGGTACTTTTTATGAAAGAGAATTACAGAAAATAACTTACAACCCCACCTCACAATATAAAATAGATAAAATAATTGACACTCGTTATTCAGGTAACAGAAAAGAAGTATTAGTGAAGTGGAAAGGTTATCCAGATAAATTCAACAGTTGGATTTTAGCTTCTAGTTTAAAAGAAATATGAATAAGGAAAGTTTTTATTTAACTTTGCTCAGCAATAGTTCAATGGAATACTTTCCTGATAACAAGACCACAAATTTTTCAACGAAATTACCAAAAGCTATGAAATTAGAAGGTGAATGATTGATTGGAGTTGTCGAGTTTCAATATCCATGTACCATGTTTACTGTTCAAGATCATGAAAATGTTATATACATTACAAAATCTATGTTAATGCCTAATGAAGATAAGCCATCCACAGTGTACTACAAAAAATATATTCCAGCTACCAACTATCATAACGTTGAGCATATTCTAAGAGTGTTAAATGGTATCGGATAGAACTTGAAATTTCGCTTTGATGAAATAACAAAATTTGTGTTTATTTCTGTTTTGGATAAAAATATAACATCCGTAACATTATCACCCAAATTAAGTTTACAACTAGGTTATGAAATCTCCTAGGGTGAAATTTTGGAAAGTGTCCTGCTAATTTACACTTGGAGTTACCATCTCAACTATTTCTATATTGCGACATTATCGATCCTCAGATTGTGGGTGATGTTATGACTCCTTTACTAAGAGTCATTTCATTAGATCCTACAAAATACATTTATGGTGCAAATAAAATGCACGTTTTCTCTCAACCTAACTACTTACCTGTTATGCGAAGAAAGTTCGATACGCCGGAAGTAGTTATAAGATCGTGCACAGGACAAAAATACCATTCCAGTTTGGAACCGTGTGAATTAAACTACATTTCTGAAAATAATAATAATGAATTCTCTTCGTGATCATCATAAATGTCCATATGAAAATTATTATACACATCAAACTGGGTCAGGAGTTGGAGTAATTTATAAGGGTTCACCATACCAACGCGGTCATGGTATTGGGAGCTTCTTAGGGGGGGTTATTTAGATCAGTTTTACCTTTACTTTCAAGTGGTGCTCGAGTGATTGGTAAGGAGACATTAAGCGCTGTTGTAGGACTTTTATCGGATATGGTTCAAGCGCGTCCTATGGAAGCCTCAATAAAAGATCGTCTAAAGCAAGTTAGTACGAATTTAAAACGAAAGGCTGATGAGAAAATTGATCAATTTAACATGACAGGATCTGGGTATAAAACTAAAAGAAAACGATTGACCTCGTTCATTCCACCATTAACTGCTAAAGTGAAAAGAAACTTGGTCTAAAACCAAAAAATATCAAAGATATATTTTCAAATTAAATATGTCTTTTCTTCATAATCATTCTTGCGAGTGCGTTGTCAGAATTGAATTCGTTTGCACTACTGTCTACACAAACTAGAATTGAAAATGTATTGCGGATTCATTATAAACCAATTTCATCTCTTGGTAATGATGGACCTATCGAGTTTCAAGTTCCTGGGACAGGCGATGACTACATAGATTTGTTTCATACATTACTCAACATAAAGGCAAAAGTATTAAATCAAGATTCAACTAACTTGATATCTACTACAATAGTAGCAGCTGTAAATAATTGGCTGCATTCACTTTTTAGTCAACTTGATGTTTATTTAAACTTGTATCACCACCTAATAATACCTATTCATATCGAGCATACATGGAAACCCTTTTAAACTATGCTCCTGCTGCTAAACAATCTCATCTTACTTGTAGTCTTTGGTATGAGGATACAACAGGAAAAATGGATTCTACAGATGGTAAAAACATAGGATTTGTTAAAAGACAGAAATTGATTAGTGAAAGTAAGGAAATAGAAATTATTGGTCATCTTCACGGTGACATTTTCAACCAAGATAAATTTTTAATTAATGGTGTTGAAATGAGTGTTAAATTGGTTCGATCAAGAGAGAGTTTTAATTTAATTGCTGGATCAAACGATGTAAAGTTTAAAGTTTGCATTACGGACGCAACTCTTATTGTTCGACGAGCACGAATTAATCCAAGTGTATTACTCGCACATCAATAAGTTTTAGCTTCTACCACTGCTAAATATCCTATTACTCGAGCTGAAGTAAAAGTTTTAACAATTCCATCGGGTGTTCAAGGAAAAACTCTTGATAATATATTTTTAGGACAGGTACAGGTAGATTCTGCATTTAATGGTTCCCTTACTAAAAATCCATTTAACTTTGAAAACTATGGTATTGATTATTTCACCTTATATATTGATGGTCAACAAATACCTTCAAAAGCTTTGCAACCATATTTTCATAATAGTATATTTACATCAACATATCATGCTCTATTCTCGGGAATTGGTATTCACTTTCTTAATGAAGGAAATGGAATCTCTTGTGAACAATATGCGAAAGGTTACTGTCTATTAGTATTTGACTTAACTCCTGATTTATCAGCCAACTCATCAGCTCATTGGAATCTCATAAAGCATGGTAGTGTAAGATTAGAAGTACGATTTGAATCCTCACTAATACAAACAATTAACTGTATATTTTATGCTGAGTTTGATAATATTATTGAGATAGATAAAAACATAAATGTTACTGTAGACTATAGTAGTTAGGGTTATAATATGTGTTGTGTGTTATATTTTATGGGTTATGTGTAATGCATTTTGTGTGTATGTAACTATGTGAATCGTTATAAAATTAAATAAAACAAATTGTATGCAATATATTATTTTTTATTTCTTTATAAATCTTCTATTTAATCTAATACAAAATACTGTTCGAGTTTAAAGTTACACCGGACTCTCTCATTAGATCATCAATAATAACAAGATGTGGGTTTTCACCCTCAAACATATTAAGATTTGGAATTCCTTGATGATAGTTAACATTTGGTAACTTATATAAAGGTTGCATTTCATCAAAGCACCATGTGATCTGATTAAAACCACAATTACATATTTCTGTATCGGATTTTATGAAATTTATTACAAAATTTGACTTCCCACATCCACTTGGTCCTGATACAATAGCAGTAAACGGATGTATAAAGTGAAACATTACACACGTCTAAAGTTCTAAGGGTGAAATATAAAAATGAAAGTGTTGGTGTAAACAATTAATACATATTGTGTACTATAACTAATGTTTTTGTTAAATCAAACAAAATTTATGATTAATTTAAAATTTTATTTTCAAGCAATAACCACTTGTAAAAAAACCACACTTCATCACAAGAACAATGTAAAATTTTGTGATTATTTTTGCAAATATATGATTATTACATACATAACGTTTGTTTGAATTTATGACATTTACCAAATCATTGTATTTTGGACATTTGTATTCTTCAATATTGGAAAATCTATCATTCGTCGTCAACATTTCTAAACAATTGTTTTTCTGCTGAACCACCTTTGTATAATTTAATATGGGAATGATGTTCTCTTGTTTGTAGGCACATTTTAATTCTTCAGTCACGTCAAAATATGTAATACTGTGCACATGTGTTTCGCAATAACGAACAGTTTTTTGTCTTTTGGCAACAAATAATTGAAAGGATAACTTGGCCGAAACAAATAATGATCGATAAACGCATAATTTTTATTAGATAGTTTTACGTCTAGAATAGTTATTTCTCTACATTGAAAATGTTTATGAGGATATGTAATGTAAAATCCGTCCATGTCGATGATGTATCTAATATTTTTTAGATTTTGTGTTATTTTGAACCAAACTTCACATAACAATGCTTCATTACTTTCCATCATCTCATCTCTTCCTTCTGCTCTTGTTTTCCTGTAATTTAAGTAAACAGAATCACATTCACTAATTATCAACTAATGACTGTCATTGTTAAAAAAGTATTTTTCAGCTTTTTCACTTTCTGCTACTGTCTTTGTATTCAGGGCTAGGAAATGTCCGCCGCGCTGCCTCAATGCGTGTTGGCAAACTTCACATGCCTTCGAAATTTTCTCAGACATACAGGTTTCCTCACGATGTTTTCCTTCACCGCCGAGCACGTGGTAAATCAACACTTAAAATTGCAATTA